CGTTCTGCATTTTACACACTTTTTATATATTTATTTACATAATTTTCGCATATCCTAATAATTTTAACACTTGGATTTCGGACTTTATTGTCTTTTATATACACAATCAAATCGCGTATACAATTAACATAATTTTATATGTAAACACGTCTGTCGTACATAATCATGTCACACCATATCATATATCATATTTAATAGGAAGAGATAACTAAAAGAGGAAATGAAAAGGTAAAAATTTATATATATATATGTTTCTCTATTTATTTATGCCCATAAATAATAAGCACAAATACATGGAAACAGCAGAAAAATGTATAATCCGATATAAGGAAAGGGAAGAAAAAAGATTGAGAGAAGATAAATCATGCCAAGTAAAACAAAAAGAAAGGTGGCTCGATGTAGTTCAAAGTTTCCATAAGCATTTGATTGCTTTATACAGGGTATCTCACAGCTACTCTATCTCTGTCTCTCTCTTTGTCTATATGTCTCTAACGCTGAATGATTGACATATTTCAAACTCAATTGCTAATCGATAAGTTAACAAATATTATCTTCTTCGACGTCGTGCATCTTGCAACAAGTTGAGGCCTGAAACCATCTTTGATTATGGCTTCCCCCATTCAATTCAACATATTTGTTGTCAAAAGCATTTGGTTTTACGCTTTCTATGAGAAATGAATAAGTTAATTGATCAGCGGTAACATCTAAGATTAACAAGCCTTATCTTCGTATCTAATTAACTTATAACTCAACAATGCAGAAGAAAGTAAGTGCATTGTAATACATTGTAATGTTGTAAGTGAGAGCAAGGTTGTGACTCGAAATAGATCGAAATATCTATATCCATATATATATTTTATTATTTGCTATAGAAGCGAGCGAATCGAATGACTTCACATCAAAACCTAGACAGTTGGGTCATTAAGCACAATAAAATATTTTATTATACTTTGTCAGCTTCTTAATCTATTTCTTCTGCTTCTTTTATAGCATATACAAGAAAGCTCTTTCAGTACATAGAGCTCTATATAAACCTTTTGTATACTATAGTCACACTCTTTGATGCCGTTTCGCTTGACAGCCTTTGCCCTTGAACTGTGAGAAATAGTTTCTTGGGTACATAAATCAAATCGGGTAAGGGTAAGCCTAGTCTTGAGGGAATATATGACCTAGGAAATAGCGGATTTCCCGCTACAAGTTGCCAACCAAAACCTTTAACTCGATTATTTTTGGTCAATAAACCAAGTTGGATCTACGATTTATTATTAATTAAAAATTTGTTGAAGCAACACAAAGTTGCAGTAATTTTTAAGCAGACCTCGCATATATTAATTTCCTTTTTCATTGTCTAAATTAATTTTTGGTCATGCGGCTACAACCGGCATTTGGCTTGTTACCAAAATAAAAACCTTTCTTCTTGGCATCCGAACAAGATACAAATTTTATTAATCTAATTATACAAAATATATATTTTTATAAATGTTATTAACATTGACTGCTTGACCTTAGGGGGGAAATAGTTGAAATGAAAACCATAAAAAATGATTATCTCATTGATGAATTAACTTAAAGCCAATAATAAATCAAATTTTAAATGAGCTTAATGCAGCTCACAATTTTCTTTGCATAATCATTAAACATATAGATTTTTATTTGTATCCGCCTTGGATAATGGGAAAATATTTTTATTCCATATTGTTAATGGCAATACTAAGCAGGTACGAACGTTGCAATCGGTCGTTAACAACTGCAGCATACTCATTCACCGCCCCAAACGATGGCAGACCGATTTAATATATAAATGTATTATATAATGCAAATCAATAGAGCATGTTAACAGTAATTTAGACTTTAACTTCAAGAGCGGCGAAATGGCTTGCATTCAGACATTCTACAAAACCAATATACCCATTTATAATGCGGACTGAAATTGCAATAAACCAATATTCTTATTGCCCTTTCGTGAATGAGTATAATAATTTGTAATATAATTTTAGACTACTAAAAGGGGCAATTTACTCTTGTTCTTCTATCCCAATTTTGCATAAGAATAGATCAAAGTATAATAAAAAAAAAAAACTAGATTTATGTCAATAGTAATAGCTCTGGCTGCGGCTGCGGCTGCTACTACGGCTGCTGCTGCTACTACGGCTGCTGCTGTGCCATGAACAGAAAAATTTAATAATTTGCATCACATTCACTTTGGCCAGCAAACAGTCATAAACAGCGCAGTTTGGCTTTATTTGCCCATTTCCCACACTCTCGCGCATAGCCGAGACCGGTTTTCCAGCAGTCAGCAGTCTGTACGCAATCCAATCAACAGCCGCACTTATAGAGCAGTTCATGCACAAATCATTTTATACCCTGTACCCAATTAAGGGATACTAAACACCATTGTACGAGCTAAACAAAAGACTTGGGCAAATGCTTTGAGCTTTGCGAAAGAAATACGTAAAGGAAATGCAAAAATAGTTTAGTAATTTGACCCATTTTATATACAAAACTAATTTAATGTAATTACATTATTATATGTCTGTAAGCCGGGTTCTTTTCTTCATTTGTAATTATATCTAGAAGTTTCTGGTTTTTTCAAATAATAAGAATAAATTCCATACAATTACGGTTATTGTGAGGCGAATTCTCGCATTGCTCATATAAATAAAATGTATTCAAAAGAATTTCTATATTTAGAAGGGATTGACGTAAGCATACATCAAAATTGATACGATCTAAACACAGGTATTTAAGAGAGGCTGACATTTCTAAAGAAAGGCTCACATTTCTTAAGAAAGGATCACATTTCTGAAATATTTCTATTTCATTTCGTCATTTTCTCAACAACATTATTGTAACATCTAAAAATTATTAATTAAAGCATAAATGAACATATTTTCGACTATAAATGAAGTCTATAGCATGTAATCGCTCTCTCGCAATTACAAACCAATTTTTGTTCAAGCATATCTAGAAATTTCCATTATGCAATCTCTTTTATATGGTTTAGTTAACATGGATAGATACGTGGCTATTTTTTTCTATCCTACATTAGTTAATAGTTGTTGTTTTTTTTTTTTCTTTTCGTTCAGTACACACCCTTGTTTTTGCCAAAACTTAATTGCAAATTCCATAAAGATCACAAAGTTATTTCGAAAGAGATTGAACAACAGCGCATTTTTTTCTATACTAAGAAAATGCGAGAAGAAAAAGCTGCTCTCACAGCTGCTCTACACACAATTCGCAATTGGCTAAATGGCTAAATGGCCTAAATGCTTTTGTGGACACATGAATTGAAGGAATGAGCGTTAAACGCATGTGACAGCACCACCAGCAGCAGCACCAGCAGCAGCAGCAGCTCTACATTTGGTTTTTATACTCGTTCACGAAAGGGAAGTGAGTATATTGCGTTTTTGCAATGTCCGTTGGTCAACCCATATAAAACCAGCCAATAGAATATGACGTATATATGCACGCCCATTGGGGTGTATCTTTTACAATCTTAGAGCTAGAAACCCAAAATTGAACAATTAAAGTAGTTCTGAAAATGTATCTGGCAATTTTTGGACCGTGAATGAGTATGCTGCAGTTGGTAACGCCTGACTGCAACGTTCTTACTTGTTTATACCATATAGTTGCCTATATGTATATGTAAATGTATTTAAGAGTTGACATGCATGTTGAATTCTGTTTCTCAAACATAAAATAAAACTTGTATATAAATATATATTTTACGTATAGTTTAAAATAATAGATTTAATTAACATATTGTTTTATATAATCAAATCAAATTAGCATCCGAATTTATCATCAATTTGTCTATCTAAGTTATTGACCTACCCGCAGTTAGCTTAGATTTAATTATGCGAATGACAAATAAAATAAATAACTTGGAAAATATGTAAATAGCCAACAGTAGTTTTAAAGACTTTAGTTTATATATCATTTGTTTATAAATATTTGTTGCTTAATCATAAATATGTTACAAATGGCATGAACTAAATAAAATCAACTTAAATTTAAATTTAAAATATAATTACAAATAATTTGAAATTATAGATATATCAACTATTTCCAAATCATTAAATATGTAAATAAACTGAATCATAATTTTTTTTTTATAATTGGCATCAAAATGAAAATAAAATTAAAATTAATTTTAGTTATTTCTTAATTATACTTTTTTATATCGCAATTAAATAAAAAGTTCAAAAACTTTAATACCTTTTCAGTTAACTTTTAATTATAATTTTTTTAAATGATATTAAAAAAATTGAGTTATTATTTTGTCAATTAATTATCATAATATGTATACATTTAAAATTTATTGTAATTGCTTATATTATATTAAAAATATTTTAGTAATATAAAATCAAATAAAACATATATTTTCATTATTTGCTTATTTTTTTTTTTTTAAATATACATATATATAAATTATTAAAAAATTAAAATATTTCAATCCAAAGTCAAAATTGATATTGGCTAATTGAATGACCAGCATCATATCATTTTTTTTTTCACATAAACATTTTGACCTTTGTTTTAGCTTTTAGCCCACGGCGGAGCGCAGCTCTACTTGAAGTGGTCGGAGTTTCGGTCTAACATAAGACAATTACACAATCGACAATTAAGTCGACCCATTATTGTGTCTATTGAATAAGTTGTTTAGTAGCTCAACTGAATTTGATTTAAACAAATAATTGTTAACTCTCCTAGCTACAATTGCTTTCAGTTTTTCAGTTTTTTCTCTTTATTGAATATTTGGTTCGATATATTTCTTTTGGTTGCCATGTAATATCCATATATACATAAGTCTATGCGAGCTATATGTAAGTATGTGTGTGTGTATCACATGTATTCAGCATATCATTGTATTTTATTTTCTTTTTCCATTCATAGTACAGTGGTGTGTGTCTATGATGGCTACAGTCCGCTCGTGCTCGTGCCCGTGTCTATGGCTGTGTGTGCAAAAAACCAGTTTGTTGCTGCAATCTTTTGTTTTGACCATTTGATTTCACACACTAAAGCGCGCGATACATAAGTACATAAGTTTATTCACACTCACATCAAATGCTTTCAAGTTTTGTAAAAAAATATTTACAATAAATACATTTACATCAACGTCTGTGTGTTTGTGTGTGTGAGGCTGAGTATAATATATATTATACAAAATTATAAAAAATAATATAAGAAAAAAGATACCTTACCTCGTTCGCAAGTTTCCATTACGCGTTGAGTTTAATGTTTTTGCAGCAAGCTTAAAGCTTGCAGCGTTAGACGCGCTGTTTATTTGGCTGGCGCTGGTGCGGGGCAGCGCCAGACGCAAATTCAGATTCCCATTGCCCGGAGCAGTGCGCGTCGTCCCGCTGGCGATGTTGCTCGCTGCCAATGCGCTGCATGGGAGCCTCTGGCTGGTCAATACGATATTCGCGATCAGCAGAATAACAGTAAAAGACAGCCCGCCCCTGAATTGTCTATGCAAGGGTAACATTACGGCGAACCACGAACCACGAACCACTCAAACCACTTTTATATTACTTGCAATGAGCTTAAATTTCAATATAAATATATGATATATATGTATTATTTTTTGTTGGTTTTTTGTTTTTGTTTTTTGTTTATTTAATAACTCAACTATGAGAATAAGCGAAGCAAAAGTTACGAATATTTGGTTCAAAGCAAACTGCTTGTACAAGTAGATCTTTGCCAATAAATATTATCTCTTTTATTTTTTTTTTCTCTGCAAATTTTTGTTTTTTGGTGTAGACAAAAAGCGAGCTTTTCGCTAATACAGCACGAACAACTTTGATTATTAATTAAAAGGAGGAAAAAAAAAAATAAAACAATTTACTTTCATAAAATTTGATCTGCACCAGTTGCTATGTAAGACATATAGGTTTACTTGTATTCACACACACGCACGCAAACACATATAACTATATAGATATTTGAATAATTGTTATTTATTGCCTTTATTTATGATATTCAATAGACACACAAAACAATATATTTGATTGTACCATGGATGTACATATGACTTCACATGCACATTCTCCCTCTATCTCCGTCTCTCTCTCTCTCTCTCTCTCTCTCTGTCTCGTTCTCTGTCTCCTTCTCCTTCTCACGCTTGTTATTAAAAATCTTGTTTCTGTTGCGTATTTTTTTATTATTATAATTTTAGCAGCGAGCTGCGAGATTTGATCTTGATATACATAGTATTCAAATGACGGTCAACAGTAATTGTTGAGTAGCAAAATTGTGAATGGTATAACTCTGGTATTTAATATTTCACAACCGCACATATCCGTAGGTGAAACTTTTCTGTACCCGCCGAGACGTGCTTAGATCTCGATTTGTCTGAGCTGAAATGCAGCTCACCGAAAGTTCGGCCCTAATTAACGGAACAGCAATACGCAGCCGCAGCCGCAGCAGCAGCAGCAGCAGAAGCGGGCAGCTTTACAACACAACGGCTAACTCACCATGCAGCACACACCACGCCACACACCACACACCACACAACACAGAGCGCTAATGTGTAACTCACCACGGCACAGAGAGCAAAAGTGGAACTCGTTTACTGTGCCCCAACGAAAGTGAGAGTGGTTTTTACATACGTACATATATAGTATATGCTATATATGTATGTCTTATGCATTTTATATATGCTTATTTTAAATGCCCAGCCTAGGCTATAAATATATCAACTATTAATTATGATCAAATATATATAAACTTACAGCCGCTTCTGCATTTGCTTATTCAAGTTGGTTTTCGCATTTGTAAGGCTAATCACACTCGCACACACACACTGATGTATGCTTGCGCGTGTGTGTGTGTCGGTGTTGTCTCTGTTTTGATTTCAATTGTATTATTTTTAATTCAGGCAAAACTAGTTTTGCAATTTGTTTACGAATCTTGCTTACGGCTTAAAGCTACAAAATAAAACGCTTCTCTCTCTCTCTCTCTCTCTCTCTCTCTCTCAGACTTAGAGTCTGGCTTTTGAATGCATGTAAAAATGTATTATGAATGCACATTTTGTAATTTTACATTTGGTACTTTTCAAATTTTCGGGATTATAATTTGAAATATTTATTTACATATATAGTACACAAGTCGCATTAGCTTTTTTGCATATTTCAGTTTCGCTGCATACTTATTTTTGAAATCTTCAATATGCAGCTCCCACTGATCTATGTACTCTGACTGCAATCCGTAAAGTATGCAATGGGGTTTAAGGTTGAATTTTCAGCTCATAATCCACAAACAACTAAGCGTTTACATAACATAGCGATTATGTACATTGCTTGCAATAAAAAAAAGCGTATATACAAAATATATACCTAGAGAGATTTTTATAAAAATTTTCAATTTCAACTTAATTTGTTGACAAAGAGAAGCACTTTTATAAGGCATGATCTAAAAATTTGATAAATGTCTGGCCCAAGCAGTGACGTTTATTTATTAATATGGAGCACAAAAACAATTAACAACGCTCTAATTGGTCAAATTCCATATTGGCAATATCACACATTATTAGTTAATAATCAATATATATATATATATTTTTTTGTTATGCCAAAAGTGAAATCGCAAAAACAAAAGTTTTATTTTAATTATAAGCCAAAACAACCAAAATTTAGCGAACTTATAGATCAAAGAACTTTTAAATAATAAGTAAACAAATATTTAATTAACTGATAATAGTCATAAACGCAGCACAAAACTACAATTCATATTAACTAATTAATTACTTAAATTAAAATTAGCTAAAGATGTTTGAAGAAGACAATAAGCATTGATTAACATCATAAAAATGACATGGAATTTTAAGCTAATATGATTGGTATACCCTGGACTCATTGGAATAGGGTATATGGGTTTAAGAACCAGTTATAACCAAATGATCGTAGGATTAATTGTCTGAAGTTCATTTGGTAGTTATAAATTTTTCATTACTAATATTTGGGAACAGACATAAGGCAGCGTCCAATAAGTCATCTGTCTGTGCGTAAAGTTCAGGGTGTCTCCAAGTCGCACACTTAATACTAGCGCGCTCTTACTGGTTTATTATTCATACAGTTTATCTAACAACTTCTTGGGTTTTTATGGTCGCGTAAATCAACTTAACTGACGGCCACCTTTTTTTTTTTTCCTGCATTCAATAACTGCAGAAAAAATTGTTTAAATTAAACAGATTAATATTGTTATTAGTAAATAATTCCATTTCGTAGAGATTAAGGTGTTTCATCTATTTAATAAGCTCCATTGCTCCATTGCAACGAACTCAAAATAAGAGCTATTTAATTTGGAGAATATTTATCACATGAGAGTTGTTATTTCATTTCTTCCTTTAATTTCCACGATTCACATCTGGATTTGATCTTTAAATTTCCAAAATCGATAATGCCTCAGCATAATTTCTGAAATACAACTAAAAGAAACCTGAATCCCAGGAAAAATAAATCATAATTCCATTACAATAATATTTATGTACATAAGATAGATTTTATTTTTATTTTATTATAAAATATTGTATAATT